TATATATTTATACATATATTTGTGTGTGTAATTTTTCTTTTGTTACATTTCGACGATTTGCGACCTTTAAAAATTTAATAGAGTAAGGGCCATAAACCGGGTGACATCGAAAGCAATGAAAGGCTAGCCTAGTGTTAAATGCTGTGTCCATGTGTGTCACTAAGTAAAATAAAACAACATCCTAGCATGTATATGTAATTATTTTATTTGGAGTAGTTACATAGTTCATATCACCACATTCGATCATGTTCCACTTTATGACTGTGCAACTTGAAAATAGTTCTGCAGCGTAGTTTCTACTGCAAAAGGACCCGTTTTAAGGCTGTCACGTTTAAAGCACATAATTCCTTCCTGCTTGCCTTCCATAATCCATCTAGCAGACGCGAACACCAGTTTTATTCTCCAACTGTTCGAGATGTGCGACGGTTGAATGGATATGTCGTGGAAGCAGCCTGTGCACACGTAATGCTTTTCCCAAAAAAGATCCTTCTTGATTATGTTGTGTACTGTTGCCTGGAACACGCTGACGGCCGTTTACTATTGACCTTTATGTTAATGTACCGACAGCTGTTATAAGACGACGCCCTTTGTTTACCATTGCTGGTTTACGAATTTTTTGCTCGATAGTCTTCAATCCCGTAGTTGATGCATAATCCCTTGTTTTCTGGTACCATTGAGTATAAGGGATATCCCAGTCTTAGAAATTCCAAATCCCCGATCTGAACACATCTTTATGATCTAAGTGTATGAATATTCTGCGTCGGAAAAAGCTGTTGTTACATACTATTTCCAAAAACGATCAACTCACGGTGGCGTCACACTATTTAACACCAAATAATGTCAAAATGTAGTTCTAATACATTCTGTTCCACAGAGACTATATTTAACTGGCTGTGATTATCACATGACTTTGTTATGCATACTCAAAATCGTTTTAGTATAACGTACTCAACCACAAATTAGCCTTACCAGTTAAATTAACTACAAATATAACATAAGAATGGGTTGTTATTATAACTGCTTTGGCAGTATTGCTATTGAACACAATTTTTTATCTTCAAACTCAGGAACACAATTAATGCGTTTCTATTCAACTAAATGGTAAACTGAAACCGAAAGTAATGTTTTCAATGCCAGCTCTGTCTTTTTCCCAGATAACCATACCATCGTTTTGTTTTTCACAGATGGCCATGCCAGGAACTTTGCCACTCGATAAACATTCGTAAGTGACGTCAAATCCACAAGTCATATGGTCTGCCAAGACAAGTAGCAAATTAGCAGACGTGTGGAAATTGTGAAAAAAGTATATTACATCAAAGAAACCCATTTGTACTTCTGAACAGTAAATCCCTGTGTTAAATTCTTGGAAAGTCACTATTTGTGTGTTTCTTTGTAAAATTTTAGTCTAGGAAATTTATAACGAACAGGAAAATACATAAAGATACGTAAAAGTTTTGTTCCACGTGCCAGTGTCAATGATAGACAAAGGTCTTGGAATAAAATCCAGCCACCGTTCCGTATACATTAAAACTTAAATATTACTGAATAGATCTCACTGTAAACTATAGCAAAAAAGGTTTATCTTACTAATTTTGATGAGTAAACTTATTTTAGCACTTAGATAAAATTTCATGTCAATTAAAAATATTCAAAGTAAATAAAATATGTTTGTATTTTATTTACAACAGCACAAAAACTATAGCCAGAAAGTTAAAAAATAAAATCCACAAATGATAACACTTGTTACACCAAAAACAGACACTTCATTACAACTTCTGACGTCATATATTAGTCACGAACTATATTTTCAAGTCGTTACGTTCAATGACGCTTAGGCGAGTTCGCAACAGTTCGTTATCATTCCTGGGTAAGTAGGAAACAGTCTTACCAGAACTCGTCATCAGAGGGCCAAGCCTCAGTTCCTTCTCTTGATGTTCACTCTCATATACAACCAAATCAAACATCAAGTACCCCTCATTCATATAGGTCCATTAGCACATAAAAATAATGTTTTCTAAAAAAAATCACCAGAGTTGTTAGGTTTAATACCTGAAGTACTTTTCTATCTCTCGTTTGTGCACGTATCTCTGTCTTTTATTACTGTCATTAATGCGCAAAAGCATTCATAAGTCATCTTTCCACAATAATAATAGTAATATCAATTAAAGTATACATTTATTGAAGAAGTTTCTTTTCCTTAATCTTATCAATAACAGTTTTGTCAGTTTCCCAGTAAGGTATATACTGTATATATGTAAAAAAAAAAATATATGCCCGTGTGCGACCAAATATATTTCATCATTTTATTAAATTACCCAAAAACTTTCAACTAGAATTGAGAAACTGTCAATTGTTTTATGGTCGTCATTTTCTATTCAGTGCTTCGACATCGTCACACTTGCTGCATAAAACAATTGTTCTAACATCAAATTACACCCACATTCGCAATAAATGTGTATTAATTGATATTTCACAAGATTTTAGGTTAAACCAATGATTCACAACTAGTGCGCCATGACGACTGTGACTGACCTAAACTAACAAATCATCAACAGCATATACAAATCTTTATTAATGTGCCAGGTAACTACGTGGTCCTTGATAAACCCGGGTTAGTATTGTACCAGGTAACTACGTGGTCCTTGATAAACCCAGGTTAGTATTGTGCCAGGTAACTACGTGGTCCTTGGTAATTCCTGGTTAGTATTGTGCCTGGTAACTACGTGGTCCTTGATAAACCCTGGTTAGTATTGTGCCAGGTAACTACGTGGTCCTTGATAAACCCGGGTTAGTATTGTGCCAGGTAACTACGTGGTCCTTGATACACCCGGGTTAGTATTGTACCAGGTAACTACGTGGTCCTTGATACACCCGGGTTAGTATTGTACCAGGTAACTACGTGGTCCTTGATACACCCGGGTTAGTATTGTGCCAGGTAACTACGTGGTCCTTGATAATTCCTGGTTAGTATTGTGCCTGGTAACTACGTGGTCCTTGATAAACCCTGGTTAGTATTGTGCCAGGTAACTACGTGGTCCTTGATAAACCCTGGTTAGTATTGTGCCAGGTAACTACGTGGTCCTTGATAAACCCTGGTTAGTATTGTACCAGGTAACTACGTGGTCCTTGATAAATCCTGGTTAGTATTGTGCCACAGACGAATATTATTATTACCGTACGTGTGTGGTCTACATATTTAAGGTCGTTGAATGTCCAATACATATGCTTCGGTTCACATATTGTATTTAAATAAAAGTTATAACCATGGTCATCATATTTGATGTTTTTTTATTTCATTTTTTAGTAGTGCAACTATTTTAATATTGGTACCGAACAAAATTCATAGTCATGGTTACCCTATGAAATAAGCATGGTAATTACACAATTACAATACATACCACTCGCGATTATCAATTTCATATCTATAACTACCTCTATGTCAGACTCATTAACACAATACTATTACTACAAGCTTTAAATACAAGCCTACTTTGCTTTCATACAACACATCGTAGATTTGGTACTGTTTTTTTTAATGCGATATGTTTTGTACACAGTATCAGATGTCATTAACTTGAGCAGTATAGATAAATCATTGGCTTATGTGAATGGTCAATAAATAAAACCGAGTCCTCATTACAAAAAAAAACAGACCAATTCAATCTATAAACCAGAAAAAGTATAATCATTCCTACGTAAACATTCAAAAATACACTACACAGCTACAACAGACAGAATTCTGAAACGAAACTCTAGAACAGTGGTGCCCCCCCCCCAAGGGGAGGCGCGTAGCTATCATTACAAGAGCATATAAATTATACCTGAAAGTAGAAGTTTAAAAACTACTATATAAATATTAGTACTGTTAAATAACATAACAAAAACAACAATTAACATGAAAGAAAAACCTATAGTATATATAAAAATGGATTATACAGGATGGGGTAGGGGAGCAACAAAACGCATGTTTGCTCCCCAGTGATCCAGAGTATTATTTTTAATTTGTACAGGGGGGAAGGTTAGAAGTATAAGTTTTAAGGGGTGTTTCTACATCTCTCACCTTGGGAATCGGACTCCGAACCACAACCATCCGAGGAAACTTTAGACGAAAACATCGATGATTCTGAGCACGAATCGGATTGAGAACCCCCATCCTCCATCAGAGCTGACCAGAGAGCAGGAGGGAGGTTAGCCCACAGTGGGGGTATATGACGAGGTGTGGGGGGTTTGGTAACTTGCCAAGACATGATGTATGAAAGCTCACACGTGTTATCCTGTAATCAGTTTCATGATACAAACTGGAAGCTGTAAGGCGCGTCGAGATACAGAACACGTAGAAAGATCATCAAATACATTATTTATTAATCATCGGTCATTAATATGTCAGGTTTTCTTTGGCCCCTAGTTTTCTTTTTGTGAAGCCTTTACCTAAATTATTTTCTCCAAAGCGCTGTTGATGAACAAAATATCCTGGACGAACTCACTACCCTACGGTACACCAAAAACGTAACTGAAAATTACACTTTTCAAACAATGAAACAGGATAGCTTTCGGAGAACTGCTGCAATCTTAAGTATTTCCTAGTGTGCCATCTACACAACCTTTCTTCGGGCAACCACGTGTTCGTCATATCCGGTTTTGGCAGAAAGCTGACATCAACTAATATATGTTCACAGCTTTAACACTATGGTAAGAAAATAACCTTTTCAGCTGATTATTTGTCAATAAACGTCTTTTGGATATTCTAAAATGTCCAATCACAGAGATTGAATTGAGACGGACGGATGAATATTCACAGCAACATGCTGTGCGAAACCACGATACAGGTCAGTCAACCTATCGTGCAGAGCTAGCCAACTCATCTGGATTTAAACAGACTGGTCCAAGACAACTGAACCGTAGTCAGGGTTCAACCACTTCAATACGGGGAGAGATAGAAGTCCACGTTGTTTTTTAAATCGATCACTATACGAGAAAAATGCATTAAGTTCTTCGAGCTTATATACTATTCACTTTATTTTCGGTTATATTTTTTTTTTCCTGCAGATCTGTAATCACGAACACGTTAATCCTCACAGTTTAAAATCTGCAACGGCCGTTACAAATGCTAGTTAGACCAACAAACCACTGTTTCCTCAATAGAGGGCAGCACAAACATATCTATGACTCACGACAAATGACGACCTTGAAGTAAAGATAAACTGTAATAGCAAAAATTTGTTTTATAGGAAACAAAACATGAGAGCAATATGTACAGCATTGTATAAAGTTCAGGAACCTTACCTACTGCTACTGTACGATACCACTCACTCCAAACCCAATATAAATAAGTTCAACCAGAAAGTACAAGAATGAACAAATGGAATGTTTTTAAAGAAAACACATCAAACATATATTCTATAAAAGTTCTTATTATTTATTTAAAAGCTTTAAATGACACACACGTGTTTCCTTATAGATATTGTAGAACTGAAATATAATTTAGTGCTAAATTTCCATTAAGGCAGTCTATTCGTCCGTCCTGCTAAGAACATTTATATTTTATATACTTCTAGCAGAGGGTGGAATGTACGACAGAAATCCGTTCACTAAAATGTTCTGTTAATGTTGGGATAAACAGCTGCTTCAAATTGTTCGTTCAATTACGGTTCGATGTGATAGGAGCTTCTCTTAAATCTATTTCATTTGAAGTAAGAATTTCTAAAACTAAAAGTACCCAATCCTGCACATGATTAATTTTCATGAACTCAAGGACATTCAGTGACAAGATAAGAAAGAACGTGGGTAGTTTCAACACACACATTAGCTTATTTCTTCAAACACCAGATGCAATACAGGTTCTATGTTTTATCAAATGTTAGTCTAAAAGCCCCAAATTATCAGAAAATCAGTGCGTATTAATCGAAACATTCTTCATATTTACCCTTACACCTACGTACAATCTCCCTTCTTTGCACGCAATATGTTTTTAAAAAAGCATACTTAACATTACCAGATATATATATATATATATATATATAACACGGTATTTTTATTTCACACAAAAATAGTACTTAAATACAGTCACATAGAAAACAGGTTCCACACGTAGCCACATGAAAGGTGATTTTTTTTTCTCCAAGGTGGAGTGTAATCCTAAATAATTATACTTAGACCTACAGCTTGCATAACGTGTATTTTGTTGTTCTTGTTTTGGAAGAATATGAAATACGAGTCTTTGCTGTAACATCATCTCAACTTAAGTTACCCAGTCTCTATTGTAAGATTCAACATTCTGCAAAGTGTCATTAAAAAAAAAAAACTTTGCCCCTCTAAGCTTCTATTTATGTTTTCAGAAAAATGACAGATATCAGGTAATCGAATACCTTCAGTCTTTCATTTCTGATTTCATGTAGTTTTATTATGGCTTGAATAATCAGGTACTAAGTTTATTTATTTTTCATGTACCTTCTTCTTCAGAGTACTTACAACGTTCACAATACAACCGACAAATTAGCACATGGCTATTGATGACGTCATCACTAAAGAGCTTTTAAAGTCGTTCCCAAGGGTATTTCGATGACGAAATAACTATACTATACTCGTACGAGTTTGTATACTTCCAATAAAGAAATTCCCACATAAGTAGAAGGCAGCAAAATCGTGGCGGATATTTCACGCCGAGAACAAATTGAAAATAGCTTATCATGAACACCAACGACACTTACTTGACTTCCACGAAATTTAACTGATAACTCTTGCTTTACATTTCCTGCTAACAAATTATTAAGACAAAAAAAAAAATAAAGAAACATATGCACTAAGATAAACCTCTTATAGCAATGGCGATAGAAAATACCAGAACAAAAAATGTATTCCATAATGAAAAGTACTACTCAATGAAGAGCAAGTAGGATCATAAAATATTTAAAATGTAAAATAATATTGGCGCCGTGGATGCGTTATAATGTGACAATCAATCCCACTATTCGTTGGCAAAGATAAGCCCAAGAGTTGGCGGTGGGTGCTGCCGGTTGGTTGCCTTCCCTCTGGTCAACAGTTCAAAATTAGGGATGGTGGCAGATCGACTTTGTAGGTAACTTTGCCATTAACAAACAAAAATAATACTCCAAGTGCTTTAGGTGACTGGATTTTGTAAATCAAAAACGCTTGGGGATAATGGGTTTGTTTGCTTGTTAAGCACAAACCTACACAATGGATTATCTGTTCTCTGCCCACCACGGGATATCGAACCCCGGTTTTTAGTGTTATAAGTCTTCGGACTTACCGCTGTGCCACTAGGAAGCAGGGTTGATCGGGTTTCTGTACACTACAACAAAGGTTTAAGGAGATACTATCTTATTTCGTAATCAAATGTGATCAATGTCGATTTGTTGTTTTGGCGTGTGCTTCAAGTTAGATACTTCGTACAACTGTATGCCGATATTATATGCTGGTGTGGCGGAAGGTTTTCTTGTAAAAATAGAATCCACAGTCTTTCTAATGTACAAAAATTAGATAAAAGAAAATAGAAGCAGCTCATTTGGAAGTATTCAAGTCCTTAATGCAAAAGTTGTAGGCAAGCTATCTAACAATTGGTAGCTCGAGAGTGCCACGTAACGAAAACTATCTATACAACATAGGCATTAAGAATTGACTGTTTACTATCTAGAACTCAGTATGGAATTCATGGTGGCAAGTGAAGAGATTATGAATGAACAAACGATCAGGAACAAACTATATAAGCTACTTCAGCCTCGCAGCTGACTGCACAATTCTTTTGCACTTTTGACTCAAATCACAGAATTAACAGAAGTGCAACCGAGCCCCTATAGTTGTCACAGAAGAGTCAAAGTCTAGTTGTTGGTTTTT